CCCCCTTCCGCAAAGGCCCAGAGCAGCTTAATGAAGGACAGATGCTCACAGTGCCTGGTCCCTCCCTCCTCAGGGCCAGGGACCAATCAGCCTCCTCCAGCTGAACTTTTACGGCCCTACCTTCATTTTGGCCGGGAGGCAAGATGGAGCACTGCCCAGCAGACGGGCCCCCAAAGCCCAGGAATTGTGGGATAGGAGTGTGGCGGCTCGACACGAGAAAAAGCTTTGGGCCACAAAGTGCTATCAGTGCTTAGAAGCACAGGAAATGCTTTCCGTAGCTGGCTGGCGGCCTATGCAGCCGAAAAAAAAAGCTTGCTTTTAAAAACAGGAGGTTACTTGCAACTGTTTTATTCCCAAAGCTCACCAACTATCTTTTCCCAACGAAGGTGTGCTTATGGCATCCACTAATTCACAAGGACATCTCCCCCCCGCCCCCAATAGCAAACGCTGGCCCAGAGATTCGGCGGCCTGGCTGAGACTGCAGGTCTACCTCTCCCCTTAGGGTTTAAAGCCCCCATTATGTCTCTCCGCATGAGATCCCTTGGATGTGAGCTCCTAATTCAAATGGGGGGGGGGCTCTTATCTTGACACAGCTGGTTTAAGCAAACTGCAGCCCTTAATCCCAAAAAAGCATGTCTGGCAGCATTCCAAGGTGGGTGACCATTTAAACCTGTGGGATGTTTCTGTTATGCCGTCAGAACTATTGGAGGGGCCAGCTGAGGCCCTTTGCTGGCCTAAGCAACCAAAAAAAAAAAAAAAAGACTCTCTAATGGCTATTAAATCCAGTAGTCTGAATGACATCATCCAGAGAGGAATCAAGTTCATTGTTTATATGGCAGAGCAGTTTGCCGCCCTCTGGTGGCTGGAAACAGCCAGGTTACCAGCTCTGCTGCCTTGCGATCTGAATAGTTGCATTAGTGTCGACAAGAGAACTCTCATCACAGACACACACACGCACCCCGCCCGGAGCCCAGCCAAAACTTTCATCTGCATTTGGCTAAGGCTTATTTAAATCAACATCAAAAGATGAGATTGAGGACTGGTCCAAATCGAACAACTCTGCAAGGCCTAGATTGCCTGGGTCACGGGCAGGACATTCGACCGTCTGAGCTGGTGGGAGTACTCCTTTCCTTCCTGTGAGCTGGAAAGCAAGCAGCAGTTAAGCAGAAAGAATGCAGATAACTCTGTTGCAAGGACAGTAACAGGAGATGGGGTCATCTTCTGAAGGAGACAATCCCAGAACTCCTCTTTGCTTTGGGTCAGCTTACCCAACAGCACCAGGACAGACAGCTAGAAACCTGCAAGGTCCCACAACTGCATGCAGAGGGGTACCAAGATGGTTCTGTTTCCTTGAGAGCTCTGGTCATTCTATGGTAACTCCCAAGATGCTGTCTTTTATACTAGACTGAGCAACGTGCTCAGGAAAGGGGGAGGGAGAGTAGAAAAACCACGCGAATTCCCGGTTGCTAGAAACAAAAGCGCTACTACTGACCCAGCGATTTGCTTTGTGTGAATCCATGCCTCGTCAGTCAAGTCCAAGCCTGAACAAGAGGGAGTTGCCTTGACTTGCTCCGAAGCTGAACTTTACCTACTGGTTAGCTTATCCCAACCTGGAAGGCATCAAAGGGCTGCAGAGGTCACCGGCTCAGGGCTGTAATTTTGGAGATCAAAGCGAGAAACGAAGGACGGAAAAGTGGGTGTTTTATCTACTACACAAAGGTACAGAAAGCGTTGCTGACTGCTGGAGACCTACTCCCACCAGGAGCGGAGGCAGGAGCAATTGACAGCTTCCTATATCTATGGATGGAAGGAACCCTCTGGGCTGAAGACTTCCAGGGCAGAAACTGGGAAGGAACTGTGGCTCAATGGTAAAGAATCTGCTTGGTATGCAAAAGGTCCCAGGTCCAGTCCCTGGCATCTCCTGTTGAAAGGACCAGGCAGCAGGTGATGTGAAAGGCCTCTGCCTGAGACCCCGGAGAGCCGCTGCCAGTCTGAGTAGACAACACTGACTTTGAGGAACCAATGGTCTGACTCCGTATCAGGCAGCTTCATGTGTCCAACATAAGTATCCAGGGTCAAATGCCTCTGATAATGTGCTAAACATGGGAAAAGTGCTGTTCTTCAGGTGATGAAGAGTGAGACACAGAAAGCAGTGGATTAGCAAAGAAGGTGGGAATGGGTACGTGTCACTTCATGAGATGCAATAGGCTGCCCTGTGATGGTCCCTAGCTGGCAGTCAGAAGGGCCCCATCTTGCAGGTACGGCAAGGAGCATCTCCATAACGCAGAAAGCAGTGGATTAGCAAAGAAGGTGGAAGATGAAATGGGTACATGTCACTTCGTGAGATGCAATAGGCTGCCCTGTGACGGTCCCTAGCTGGTAGTCAGAAGGGCCCCATCTTGCAGGTAGGGCAAGGAGCATCTCCATAACTCTGAATAGTAGAAATGATTATTTTAATTCTAAAGTTCTGTGCCCACTTGGATGAGGAAGGCACCGCTGACTGTTTGGGTTCCAAAAGCTGTTTTCCCATCTAGGTCCAGATTGACTGACATCCATGGTGCAGTACCTGATGTCTGTACACAGGAGATTGGATTTATACCCTGTCCTTCACTCAGTCTCAGAACGGCTTACAAACTCCTTTCCCTTCCCCTCCCCACAAGAGACACCCTGTGAGGTAGGTGGGGCTCAGAGAGCTCTGACAGAAACGGCTCTTTTCAAGAACACCTCTGACAAAACTATGGCTTGCCCAAGGTCATCCAACAGCTGCAAGTGGAAGAGTGGGGAATCAAACCCGGTTCTCCCAGATTAGAGTCCACGCACTTAACCACTACACCAAACTGGCTCACCAAACTGGCTCTCTGTGGCAAACATGGAGGCAGATTACATGCTGTGGATGCCTCTTATCGTTAATGCTGAAGACTGCCAATCCTGCTGTGCTTCTAACTGGCCAACAATTCCCTCATGAGTTCTTTTCCCTAGAGTTTTGTATGCCAAGCGAACTAGTTTCTGAAGCCATCTGATCAGTTGAGGTCTTGGCATGGCTTTTTATGAGTGGGGAGCTAGACTTTCTGAAACCAGCTTTCCTGCTACTGCAGGTGATTTGCAAGGGCCCTACTCAGATCTAGGGGGTGCTGCCATGTCTCCAGCTGGTGAAGGGACTTAGGAAAGCGAGGAAGGAAACAAGGATTTCTGGGCCCCACAGGAGCGATGCACGCTTCAGGCGGATTCTGAAGGCCAGTCTGGTCCCTCCAACAACCCCGTCTTTGTGGAACGTGCACCATCACGGCTAGACGGAACTTAATGAAGAGGCTGCAACAGAAGCCTCCCAACTGCAGAGGGGGCAGGAGAATGAGAAGGGTGTGGAAGCACCTGGGAGGGCTTGAGCTGGCCAACCCTCCAGGCCAGCTGAGACGGATGGGCAGAGGACGACGTTCAGGGGGTCAGCTGATCAGAAGAGAGAAGCTGAATGATGGTTCAGCTTGGGATGGCTTAGCAAAACTCTCCAGTAGACTGGAACTTCTGAGCACGTAAGTGAAGTGAGAGACAAGGGCCCACCATGAAGACCCCCCCCCACCAAGTACTGGCCCTGGGTTAGGCAGACTGGCCCTTGGCTGAAGTGTGCCCCAACTGCAGGGCTGCTCATTTTCAACAATCAGGAGCTATTTGTACCTGAACACCGGGGAACAAATCGCTGCTCCCAGGACTCTTAACTCCCCCAAGACTTGTGTGTCCACACTCCGCATTTCCATTCCATCCAGATCACAGAGCTGATGGGAGAAGGGATGGTTTTTGCCATTTTGTGTATGTACATATTCTGACAAACTCCTCTCAGGAGCTCCTGTGACATCCAGTAAGCACTCAGATGAAAAGGGAACCTCTGGCCTTGGACAAAAGGAGAGACGGGAACCCGTGTTGTGTACAGAGGAGCCAAGCCAGGCAAATCCAAACTTTAGGGGTCAGCCACTTGAGGCTTGTTCCTGAGCAGTGAGCCTCAACCCCCCCCCCCCAATAGTTCTAGCCTGCCTCTGTTTATGAGTAAGCCCAAGGGCCTTCAAGGGCCTGGGTTACACACTGCCTTGCTGCCCTGTAAGCTCTGGGGTTGCTCGGAGGCCTGCCAAGGAGAAGGGCTTTTGCTTTCCAGAATAGGATTCAACGAAAGCAGGCTGGCTGCTGCTTTCTAATGTGACAGCTTATTGGTGGGAACCACCACTCCATTTGTGCACTGAGTGACAGAAGTCCTTGGTCAAACCTATTACACAGCCCAACAGTTACAGTCCCCGGTTAAACAAAACAAAACAGCATCAACAGGGAATTATGGCCAGCTAGGATGCATAACTGACCTGGACAGCCCAACTTAGCCTCATCTTGTCAGATCTTGGAAGCAAAGCAGAATTGGCTCTGGTTGGTACTTGGATGGGAGACCACCAAGGAAGTCCTGGGTTGCTACACAGAGGCAAGCAAACCACCTCTGTACTACTCTTGCCTTGAAAACCCCATAAGTCAGCTGTGACTTGACACCAAGCTGCATAAGATGCACACCGAGGGTTTCACAGCAATACCCACCAACCCATGCAGGTGCAGCTGGAGAGGCAGGAGCCCGAACCAAGAACTCCCATGCACAAAGGAAGCAGCATGTGATCTTCACACCTCTCCAGAGCCACACTCTGTCTACAGCAAGACCAGGAGCTGACGTAGAGGGGTCAGAAGCATATAACTGAATCGGGGAGACACAACACCCACCTGACAGTGGAATTTCTCCCTCCTTACAAGCTAAAACCCACAGGACCTCCATAGCTCAGAGAATCAATCTGTTCCCCTAGAGTAAAGGTTCAAAGGGGCCGGAGACAGACTGACCACGGAGAGATCCAAGAGACTGAACAGATTCTCAAACTCCACTGGTTTCAAAGATGCAGTGAGCCCCCCCGTTTTCATCCTCTACAGCTGAACCGACCCCTCCCTGCGACATTTGCTGCTGTATGACTAAAATGCCAGGGTCTTACCCAGAACCTGTAGGATGAGAAACTGGGCTGACAGCCTTCTGCTCTTGCTTTTGCAGAAAGACCTGGGCTTCTTTGGATGAAGCATCTACTTCCTTAGTGATCCTGTTACAAAGAGAAGAACAGAGCCAGACAGTAAATACACAAACACTTCTGCACAGCCAAAGCCAGAGAAAGAGAAGGGGAGAGCAAAAGCACTAGAAAGGCCTCCCAGACAAAAACAGGGCATCAACTTCCACCCAGGCCAAACTAGCACAGCTGAAGATTCCATTCTATGCTCACTTATTTTCAGAACGTAAAAGAATTACTTCTTCGGGGGCTTCTTGATCATGGCACCAATATTAATGAATCCCTCTGTCTCCTTCCATCATGATTTTTCTGCCAGTGGCTGAAGAATTTTTTTTTTGTCTGATCAATGATCCCTCCTTCCAGCCCTATGTATTTGCTTGTTTTTTGTGTTTTATATAGGTGTTACTACTGGTTTTTATTGTGTGTTTTACAACATTCTGCTTTTGTTAGCTGCCTTGGTGGCCCTGATTGGGCAGAAAGGTAGGCATACATTTTGTAAATAAATACATTTCTTCAAATGAGCTGGACTCAGTAGAAGTCTTGGCTCCAATAGAGAGCAGAGACATTTCTGGCCTGTTAAAGGGGTGGGTTGGTATTAGGGAAGTCTTATCAGTGGGGTTTGTATGCACGACTACACATTCTGAGGTCTTAAGGACCTTAAGCTTTCTTGAGAGTGGCGATTTCCACCAGTTCCCTGTTCCCAGTGCACACCTCAACTTTGCTGCCTGTGGCGTTTCTGAAGAACCGCTGATCCCCAGAAACTCTGTGTGTGGGGGGGAATAAGGCACAAATTGCGCTGTCTTTAGAAAAGTTAGATTTATTTATTTTATTTATTATCAGATTTATACCCTGCCTTTCAGAATTGCATGGTAGGATACAGGCCACTATTGTAGTTTTGAAAGATACCACCATACTGATAGGGAATGAGCCAGTTTGCTGCACTGGTTACAGTGCTGGTCTCGAGAGATCTAGGTTCCAATCCCCAACTGTCACAAAGCTAACTGGATTATCTTGGGCTAATCACTTATCTCTCAACCTACCTTACCTCACAGCGTTGTTGCGAGGATAAAATTCTGCCAGGGACTCAACTGGTGTCCATCTCCACATGCAAAATATGTACTGTCATTGAGGTAAGGTAGCTAGGGGTGGGTTTGCAAGTATGTATAGCAAGGAGGCAAAGAAAAGGTTAACTAGAAGTTAAGCCCAACATGAAAAAAATGGAACTTGGGGGACAAAATGTGAAATGCTGAAGGATGCAGAACAGTTTCAGAGTTCAGCAGCAGTTCCATGGCAACCCTTCCACATCTACAATGTTCCTGGCCACAGGCAACACAAATAATGGCCCAGAGCTCCTGTTCCTGAAAGTGGCTGGCAGGAAGCTCTGAAGGAACAAGTCTGTGCCTTGGCTTACACTCTGCAAAACTGGAAATGTGCTACATTTTGCCCCAGCATGCAGAATGCAAAGCCAGCAAAGTTCCTTGCTTGCTTATGACTTCAAGCTCTGCTCTGAAAACAAGACATGTTTCTGTGGCCTCTCTGTGCTAAATCACGAGGAATCAGTTTGCATCGGAACTACAGAACTGCAGCACAGAAGGGAACCTGGGAAACTAAGAACTGCCTTGCAAGATCAGATGAATGTGCTTTTTTCAGCAGTGGACAGCCCATGCCTCTGGGATAATTCACAAGCAATGTACGATGGCAGAAGTCCCCTCTCCTTCCAGGTCTGTCCCAACCTGGCAACCAAAAGTTGCCTCTGAGCACGCATGTTCCATCCTTAACCATCTTGGATAACAGATCATTCCTCAAGAAGGCTGTCTGCTCTATTTTTAGCCCAACCACACCTCCTCATTCATGTGCCTGAAGCTCATTTAAATCCAACATCTGTGGAGTAAACAACCAGAATAGATGCTATTCCGCGAAAAGTTAAAAGGGAGAAGAATCCACAACGTCTCAAAGAGGGTTATAATTTACCCTCTTGATAGAACCGATCTCATAACATTCAATACCACCCTGCCTTCCTGCTATTCAAACCTGTTGCTTCTGTGCCATAACTTCAGTAGCTATGGTGAATTATTACTTCCCTCCCCCCAAGGAAATTGTTGGATATTGTGACTCTACATGCAAGAGGATCTGGGAGGGAAAGGGTTAAGAGAATTCTCTCACTCAGGGACACTTGGCAGTTGGCCCCATCCTCTCATCAGTTCAATGTGCAGCCTCTTTGGCCATTGCTTGCCGCCTGTTTTCATCTTCTACAGGACCTCTCCTCTTCTCTCTCTTACCTGGGCTTGGAGCTGTAGCAAGTTAACCTTTCTGAAGTTAATCTGTTCACAATAAGCTAAATGTACCTACATGATCACACCATGTAAAGTGTGCTTCTATTTTTATAAGCAAAATTTCTTTCTCTTATTACCATTGGATTCAGATCATCTTTGTAATTTGTTTGAACAGCAATTTCCCCTTCACTGGGAAACGTGGAGGATCAGGGATATTGCATAGAGCTTCTGCACTTCCAAGACAAATGATTTTTAAAAAACATTTAGCCCAATAGAAAAGAGGAAAAGGAAGAGAGTGTTGCCATAACATTGGCAAAGCCAAGTGTTGCAGGTTTTTCTGAACACAAGAGAATGAATGGCGGAGAAGTCTTATCAACAGCAAGTAGCAGGGAATGAACCTGGAGAGCTGATTTAGTCAAAGCAGCATCATTTAGAATGCCACATGCTGGGCAGAAAACCATGGGAAAGCCCATCAGGCCATGTGGGTGGACTTCCCAAAGGCAGCTTGCTGGCCGCTACTGGAAACAGGATGCTGACCTGATTCAACAAGCCTCCTTAGATTACAGTCCTGTCTGTTGGGGGACCAAACAAAACCCATCTTGCCATTTTATTTTATTTTTTTACTAACAAGACTCATATTCCACCTTTCAGCCCCATCAGGGCCACCGACACAGTTAACTAAACACAAAGCAATATAGTAAACATGCCATAAAATGAGCAAAAATAAACTTATAACGGATACAAAAAAAATATAAAAACAGAAATGTCAATTAAACCATTGAGTACGAAGGAGGTATTATCGAGGGAAACAATTTTTTAACATCTAGCAAAAGCCACTTTTCCAACTGGGTCTGGGCAAAGGGAGAACATGCCTTGGACTCTCTTGCAGCTTCAAAAGTCGCAGCTAGTGTTGGACTACAAAACTGGCCTAGGGAGCTCCTGACATCAGAACCAGTTCTTGGCTCTTCTCAAACACAGAGGAAAGCAACAAAGGCTTCTCTCTCAACCATTCCAAGGCTAGGACAGAGACCCAGACTGCTGGGAACTCCTCTTATCTTGAATGTTCTTCTGTTTTAAAGCTATGCATTGTCAAACAGATGCAGCAGTGTCCTTTGCTTGCCCTGTGACTCCCTAGAGGCGAGGCACAAGTCCATTTTAAGCACCTTTCTAGTCCTCTTTCAAAGTGTTGTTCAAAAACAGGCAGGTTTCAGGTGAACACGGCAGCTAAATGAAGGTCTCAATGCTTGTCTCTCTGAGAGTGAAGCAGCTACAGGCCAGACTTACCTCACCTCCTCGCCTGCAAAGTCAAACACTTCAGTAATGGCGACTTTGGGCTTCGTGGGTTCCTTTGCCACCTCCTGAGGCTTGCACGCATTTTTCTCTGCTGGCTAAGAAACAGACGAGCAATCACACTCATCAAAATGCCAGAACCAGCTCAGATTCCCTCTAGCGCTCACCCCACTCTCATCTTGATTGCTAGAAATGATCTGTGCTGCCCCCAGTTTCTCTCCTGTTGGTCAGTAGTCTCCTTGAAAACTCTACTATTTAAAATGTTTCTAACCCCAGGCACTCCACAGAAACATTCATTTTTTTATTTTGCAAAATTCAGGCCCCGCTTTTCTGCCCTCAAGAGGGCCAGCGAGGCAGCTAACAAATTAAAATAAAATCACATCTTTGAAATCATTAAAACCAATAAAACAAAACCAGAGCTAAAATACAGACAAAAACATTAAAAACTACAATCAGAACACTGAGCAGGACGAAGGAATACAGCTACCCCAGGGATGCCACTTCAGCAGAATTACCTCTGCACAGGGAAATGGACACTGGGATGCTCATTATACAACTGGAGCATTAGGACCTGCCCTTTCCACACTTGGATGTTATACCTCTTCCTATGACCGGCTGGGGCCATGGCTCTGTGACAGCACATCTGCAATGTATACAGAAGGTGCTGGGTTCAATCCCCAGAATGAAATAGTGATTAGAGTGTCAGACTGGGATTTGGGAGACGTAGGTTTGAATCCCCACTCTGCTGTGAAAGCACAGGTAGCCGTGTTGGTCTGCAGCAGAACACCTAAGATTCGAGTCCAGTAGCACCTTAGAGACCAACCAGATTTTGGGGAGGGACTTCGTGGACTTGAAAGTAGCTTCATGAGTGCCTGAAGACAACAGGCCACAGAGTCCAATAAAGGAGGGGAAATGTGCTGCCTATGTACAGCATCTAACATGACAGCACTGTGGCCCAGTGTGATCAGAATTATGTAGCCTGGTCACTACGGCGAGGTGATGTCTGAGAAACTCAGACAAAGGAGTGGTTTCTGTCACAGAACAGAGGGTGGGAGGCAGTCAGACAGACACTGTATTTCCGGGTGGCTGCAGCGTTTCACCATCGCATGTTCTCAGCCGGCCAAGCAGTTTACTAGCCATGGTGGGAAACTTGATTAAAAGGGAATCTGGATACATGCAAAGGTGAGATTTGAAAAACTACCGTCCCAAAGGCACTTACATCAGAACTATTTATTTAGCCCTCCCCATACTCTACCGTTTCATGCCAAAAAGCAGAGAACAATTTAAAAAACCAAGAAACCTTATGGAAACACACAAAAATGCTCTGTAATTCCACTCAAGTGCATGGTCTGAAGCACTCCTCATCAACTTCAGCGCCAAGGCTGCCTACAACCAACATCTACATTTCCTTCAAACTTCTCTGACTTTGAGACTCAACCATTGCAACAATATCTACATCAAAAAATATTTTAAGAACTAGTCCAAGCTGAAACTAATGGGAGTGAAACGTTCACAGATTTCCCCAACCACTGCATTCTTGGTTTCAACTTAAGTTCTTCCATGTATAACCACAAAGTCTGCCTCTTTCCTGTCTCACCACCACATCTACTGGCACCCAATATCCCTGCCTAGGTTTAAAAGCCTTCCCTTCAAGAAAAAATGGCAGCAAGGGCTTCGGCCAGCTCACTGCTGGGATATTCACAGCACATCAGCTCTGAATATTCATGGAAGCCCCTTTGCCAAGGACTTTTTAGATCCCAGAGACTGAACGAAGTGCAAATGTTAGAGTTCAAGGTATTTGACTGAAAAGACCGAGAACCTGACAAGCATGCCAATTGTACTTTTTCTGTCCCAGACTAGACTGCTCTCACCTTGTCTTTCGGCACACAGGTTGCCTGATCAGTAGCAGCGGCTCTGGGTTTCTGGCCCACGTCACTGAGGAAGCTGGCCCACAAAGCATCCTCTTTTTTCTTTTTCTCTTCTTCCTTTACAACTGGGCAACTCTCTTCCAGATCATCACCATCCTTGCTGTCACTTGCGTCATCTTTTGAGGTTTCGCCATCCAATTCTAAGGAGAGGCCACCTCCTTTGCACCTCTTCCTAAGGACAAACATTATCAAAACCCACATGCACATGGGCCAGCTGGCTACCACCAGTGCCTGTTGGTTATTCTATGAAAAGTGTTATCATTTATACACCCTGACATGTGAAGCAATTTATGAGGTTCTTACATATGTTACTTTCTAACAACCTTCAAAATAGCCCAATAAAATAAACGAATGTAATTACTCCTGTATTACAGATTTGGAGTCCCAGGATGGGGAGGAGAGAATGTGGCTGATTTGACTAAGAGGCAGCATGTGAATTTGGGACCTCCTAGGTCACAGAACATCAGAACATCAGAGACGCCAATGTTGGATCAGGCCAAAGGCCCATCCAGTCCAACACTCTGTGTCACACAGTGGCCAGAAATACCAGTGCCATCAGGAGTTCCAGCAGTGGGGCCAGGACATTAGAAGCCCTCCCACTGTTGACCCCCCCCAAGCACCAAGAAGACAGAGCATCACTTGCCCCAGAGCCCCTAGCTATACCTTGTGGCTAATAGCCACTGATGGACCTCTGCTCCATATGCTTATCTAATTCCCTTTTGAAGCCGTCCATGCTTGTAGCTCCCACCACTTCCTGTGGCAGTGAATTCCATGTGTTAATCACTCTTTGGGTGAAGAAGTACTTCCTTTTATCCGTTCTAACCCGACCGCTCTGCAGTTTCATGGAGTGCCCACGAGTTCTTGTATTGTGAGAAAGGGAGAAAAGTACCTCTTTCTCTACCTGCTCTTTCCCATGCATAATCTTATAAACCTCAATCATGTCACCCCTCAGTCGTCTTTTCTCCAAGCTAAAGAGCCCTAAGCGCTTTAACCTTTCCTCATAGGGAAAGTGTTCCAACCCTTTTATCATTCGAGTTGCCCTTTTCTGCACTTTTTCCAAAGCTATAATATCTTTTTTAAGGTGTGGTGCCCAGAACTGCACACAGTATTCCAAATGAGGTCTCACCATTGATTTATATAGGGGCATTATGATATTGGCTGATCTGTTTTCAATACCCTTCCTAATAATCCCCAGCATAGCATTGGCCTTCTTTATTGCAGTCACACACTGTCTCGACATTTTCAGTGAGTTATCCACTACAACTCCAAGATCTCTCTCTTGCTCAGTCTCTGCCAGTTCAGACCCCATCAATGTGTATTTATATTTAGGATTTTTGGCTCCAATGTGCATCACCTTGCACTTGGCCACATTGAACCCCATTTGCCATGTTGACGCCCACTCGCCATCCTTGACAGCTCTTTACTTTAGCTGCTACACTAAACCATTCCCCTTGTAGTAGCTTCAGACATGAACCTAAGCTAGGCTGAAAGGTTCACAGGTTAAAAAAGTGACAGTATATATGTATTTCAGTGTAAATCCTATAGGCCAGGATGACAAGATCCAAGAGGCTGCTCAGGTAACTGGACTGAGACACAGCTCTGCTAACATACCAATATCAGGGCAAGGAGTGTCAGGGTTGCTAACTGTAGGCAAAATTCAGCATTTACAGATGCTGCAAACTAGTCTCTGCAGCTTTACACTGAGTTCTTTCCTTGGCTACGTCTTAATGGCAATTTTACTCTGTTGCTGGCATCTCTTACCAAGGCTCCAGCACAAAGAGTATGCATGAGCCCAAGGCATAGTATAGTTCATCCTAAGCAGGACAAAGAAATACATGACTGCAGCTAGCCACAAGGTAATTCTCACCAAATGTTTGCTTGCGCCTATTAACCCACAGTGAAGTTAGAGAGTGCCTACCGGCCTGTGATCCCCTTGGAACCCTTCTTGCACTTTTCCCCCTGTGACTGTTTTTCCTCATGCTCATCCTCTTCCACCAGTTCATTCACATCATCCTCACTGTAATCTTCACCTGTGTTAAGAAAGCTACAGTTACCACACAGGTCATTCAGGTCTTGAGATCCTGGGGCTGCATCCTAACAAGGGAATAGAAGACAGGAAAACAGCACAGCCACAGAGCAGGATGGACTCTTTGGTCATGACCTCTCCTTTAGTCTTACATTTCATCCTTACCCAGACTTTCAGGCTGCTGACCAAAGTGCCCTGTCCCCTAAAAAAAGAAACCATACACCTACATAGAACCATAAAGTTAACTTTAACTCAATAAAGTTTGAGCATGTTAATACCTCACACAAAATCACAGATTGGTCCATCTAGCTCAGTACTGACTCCTCTGACTGGCAGCAGCTCTATGGGCTCTCAAATCTTTTCCCAAGAAGGCAGATTGAGGTAGGTAGCCACATTGGTTTGAAGCAATACAAAGTTTGAGTCCAGGGGCACCTTAACTACCAACAAAGCTTGTACCCAGAATTAAAGTTTGTTGGTCTTAAAGGTGCCACTGGACTCAAACTTTGTTCTTTTCCAAGACATTAGTCTTTAAAGGGAGATACCATGGGTTGAACTAGGACCCTTACATTGCAAAGCTTTTCCATCAAGGCATCTCTGTGATTTAACAAATACACAGACAAATTCTTCTAGGACTGAATCCCTCACACGGTGCTCCCCAAATTGCCAGCAGGTGCTAATTCGTTTTTTCTGGAGAAAAATCAGGATTATCAGATATAACTCGGGACAGTCCAGGATTTCAAGGGGGTTTGCCTGGGGAAGGCGCAGATACCATAGAATCCACCCTCTGAAAAAGCCATTTTCTTCAGGGGAAATGGTCTCTGTAGTCTACAGAGCAGATGCAATTCCAGGAGATCTCCAGGCACCACCTGGAGAGTTGTAAACTCACCCTCTGTAACTGCTTTCTCTCTCCCTAAGGGCACGAGGAAGAAGGAACCCACCTGAAGGAAGATAATCTTCATCTTCCCCCGAGGAATACTCCTCTGAGTCCGACATGGCTCTTCCAACACGGCGCAAGCCTACACACAACTCTTGGCTCAAAACAGGAAGCACTCCCGAGGCCGCTAGGAGTGCTTCCTCCACCACAGAGAGCAAACCCGTGACCAGTAGGCCAGAGCGACGGGAGGATCACCGTGGAAGCCGCAAACAGCCGCGCGTCTAGAACGGAAGCAGGACCACCTAGCGGTAGTCAATGAAAGGACGCCTCTGATGCAGTGTAAGACCATAGAGATTTGAGGAAAGAAAGGCTCCAGCAGACGTTACTTTCCCAGCCGGCCTGTGGTAAGCGAGCAGATGGAAACCGGAAGTGAAAGATCCTAGAAACTTTTTTAAAGGCCCATGGTCGTCCCAAGCCCTCATAAAAACAGTGACGCAAGTGTGCAATGTATGGCGAGGGCTGTCGTCCATGAGGCTAACAAGACCCTCCCTTAGTGCTGGTTTGACCAGCCCATATGCAGCCCCTTCCCTTCCCTTCCCCTCCGGTACATAAAGAGCCACCCAAAATGGCGTCTTGAGGCACTACCTCCTATATAGATCCATATATAGGAGGTAGTGCTTGAGGCCAACTGTAGGGTTAAGACGGCACAACCAATGGAGAGTCTAACCTTGAGCCACGTGATTTTGCCTCGCCCTAGATACACTTCCGACTCTTTAAAAAAAACAAAAAGCTCCGTAGAGAGAGACAGTAATCAAGTAATCGCCGCCGAACTATGGGCACTTCCGGGCTACACTTTCTCCTCCGTAGGCTACCGTCTCCATCATAGAGAGACCAGGGAAGAGCGACGCTGTATTTAGCGGAAGCAGGGAGCTGTTTGACACTCCGCTAGTTTTCCTCTCCATGGCGCCGCTGAGGCGAGGTTGATGGCGACGGCGGCATGGACGGGGGCGGCGGCGGGGCTTCCGACGGTTCCCGTGCCAGGAGTCCTGCAGAAGGTCTTCAGCCTCAGCTTGGTGGTTCCGGAAGGCAACATCACTTGCTCCGTCGCCTTCTGCCACTTCCCAGGTAGGCCGCCCCTCCCCCCGCCGCCGCCGCCGCCGCCGCCGCCTAGGCTGGCTTATAAAAGTGCGGGGTTGCGCTCGGGGAATCGTGTCCCTATTGCTGGGGAGGGCTGGTGATTGGTGGGAGCCAGTGGAGGATCTGCTTCCACGTCCTTGTAGGCCACGGACTCGAGAGGCGCCCTTAGCCATTTTTTTGCGGGGGGAGGGACGTCACGCTTTGCAGGGGCTCAGATGTTAACTTGATTTGCCTTTGCCCGCGTTAAAACAGGTGATGAATCAGCCTTCAGTGACTTCCTTGTCTTCCCGTCAGGCAGAATTGCATTCCAATAAAGAGTGGTCTCATCAGATCTTGGAAACTAAGCAGGATTGGCCCTGGCGAGTACTTGGATGAAAAGGCCACCGTTCAGGGTTGCACTGCAGAGGCATGCAATGGCAAACCCCCTTTGAATGTCTTTTGCTGTTCCCCTTGAGTTGGCTGCAACCTGGCAGCGCTTTCCACCATCAAAAGGTGGTGCTTCTAGTGATGTGGATCTTGAAAACCTGGAGCTAGTGAAAGATTTAGATGTGGGGAGAAGGGGGTATCCCTTCTGCGGTGGTTGTGTCTTCCAGGAATTCTATACATAGGACCAGAAAGTCACATTTGAATGCACTGTTAGCCTGAAATGATAATTGGCAGAAAGTTGTTGGCCCATCGATGATGGGGATCACTTGGCTTCTACTGGTTGTAGGGATTTTTGCAGGGACTACTACAATAAGTACACTACACTGATCCTAGAAGGCACTTCCTATGTTCTTAAGTGCAGGAGTGTGTGCTCAGAATCATTTAGTCTGTTAATCTTTCTTAATAAATTCTGAGACTGTGATCAGCCCATCAGCTGTTTGAAATATGATTTTTAGAGTTGGGAAGTATAGTGGAGTGATGTTGCCATTGTATGCATTCTTTTCGGATGATTTAGCTCACAGAAACTTAAGAACATAAGAGATGCCAATGTTGGATCAGGCCAAAGGCCCATCCAGTCCAACACTCTGTATCACACAGTGGCCAGAAATACCAGTGCCATCAGGAGGTCCACCAGTGGGGCCAGGACATTAGAAGCCCTCCCACTGTTGACCCCCCCAAGCACCAAGAAGACAGAGCATCCCTTGCCCCAGAGTCCCTATCTATACCTTGTAGCTAATAGCCACTGATGGACCTCTGCTCCATATGCCTATCTAATTCCCTTTTGAAGCCGTCCATGCTTGTAGCCACCACTTCCTGTGGCAGTGAATTCCAAGTGTTAATCACTCTTTGAGTGAAGAAGTACTTCCTTTTATCTGTTCTAACCCGACCGCTCAGCAATTTCATGGAGTGCCCATGAGTTCTTGTATTGTGAGAAAGGGAGAAAAGTACCTCTTTCTCTACCTGCGCTTTCCCATGCATAATCTTATAAACCTCAATCATGTCACCCCTCAGTCGTCGTTTCTCCAAGCTAAAGAGCCCTAAGCGCCTTAACCTTTCCTCATAGGGAAAGTGTTCCAACCCTTTTATCATTCGAGTTGCTCTTTTCTGCACTTTTTCCAAAGCTATAATATCCTTTTTAAGGTGTGGTGACCAGAACTGCAGAACTTAATGCCATTCTGTGAGGCTGTGTATTATTCATGTTTTAAGTTTTGTCAGTTTATCAGAGGTATTTTTCCCTTGTGTGTCAGTGTGATTACTGTGCAGTACATTCCAAATAAAGGTTTTGCTGTGCCTATGCAGCTTTTGTAGGTCCTAGCGGAAGCTTGATCTTGGTGGAAACTGTTAGGTGTAGCAACACTGAAATCTCTCTCCTCTTTCCCATCAGAGATGTGGTATGGTGTCCTCCTGTGGGTTCTGGTGTCGTCCCTCCTTTTCCACATCCCCGCAGGATTGCTGGCCCTCTATACCCTTCGGCGTCACAGCTATGGCAAGTACATGTCAGTGAGCATCCTGCTGATGGGCATCGTGGGACCAATAACTGCAGGCACATTAACTAGTAAGTTGGCTATTCAAAAGATTAGTCAGCCCGCCCAACCCTGGCTGTAATTGGGACAATCTTCTCTAGGATGTAAATCAGGGAGGGGGAGCATATTTCTGTCCATGTATCTGGTACAGTTGATGGACTATCCTCGAAACCCAGCTGCAGGTGCACAGAGACATTTGGCAACAAGTTGCAAAACCCCTAATCCTGTGTTTGCCTCTACTGTGAAGGCATTTAGAGGAGACGGCATTTAGGGTAAGGTACGGCATTTAGAGGAGAGCAACAGCGGACAGCAAGAGGTACTTCAGTAAGAGGTCTTCTGCTTGACGTCTGTAGTCCCCAGACTATTGCAGGCAGTTTTTCCTTCAGTGTAGCTCTGAGACAA